ACTCACTTCCGGTGGCAGGTATGGAACCTATAGGGGGCCTGTCACCCGGCACGTGCGCCGGGGGCCGGTTGGGCGCGAGGGGAGGGAGGCCGGCGGGCCGGCTGGGGCTGACCCCGACCCCGACCCGACCCGACCCGATCCACCCCGGAGCTCGGGCCTGGCCGGCTAGGTCTCGCCCCCAGCGCCCTGGCTGGGCTGCGTCGGCGAGAAGTAAGTTTGTTCCGTCCCTCCGAAGCCGGGCGTGCACAAGAGGGCGGCGATCGCGTGCGCGAGTGTGTGCGTGTGGACCCCAGGGTGACCTAGAAACGCCAGGCGTGCGGAGGGACTGCAGATTCCCATCCCCGGCCGAGGATGGGGTCGAGCAGGTGGCGAGGTTTTGTCACGAGAACTCCCAGGCACAGGGCTGTGGCAGTCCTTGTCGACTCACTTAATGGGAACCAGGACTGACCAGCTCTTCGTTTGAGTGTGAAGAACTCGAACTTCCACAGCCAAGTGCCACACACAGTTGTCGTGCCCGGGCCATCCCAGGAGGTTTGAGATGATGAGCCTAGGAGACTCTGTGCTCTACCCCAGGAGGGTGGGATAATGGATAAGAGCAATATCTGATGGGGCCAAGGAGTCAGAAAAAGACTGTGGGTGTAGTGAGGCGGGACTTTGCTGAGGGGCTTTCACTCTTTTTTTAGCTATTGCCCAGCACCTCCTTCCAGCTGCCTCTTGAGTCACTGCCCAGTTTAGGCAGCAGTAATACAGACCGAGCTGTTGCCTCCAAAACATGCACCTTAAGGAGAATTCATACTCAACTTGAGATCCAGGCTTGCAATGTTTAGGTGAACTGTGAGGCTTCAGCGTCGCTGTAATTTACTCGTTTATGTGGATGTAGAAAAGCGGCAAGGAAGAGCTGGCCTGAATCTTGATCATTGGTGAATAGTCTCCATTACCCCAAACAATTATTTACCGGTGTGTGGTCGATAGCATATACACCGATATGTACAGACATTTTCTCAGAAATTTAAACAATCTTTTTCTGAAGAAGTTTTCCTGTGGAAAAACATGGACTCAACTAATGCATCTTTTTTTTTAAGATTTTTTTTTGATGTGGACCATTTTAAAAGTCTTTAGTGAATTTTTTACAATATTGCTTCTGTTTTACGTTTTGTGGCTTTTTTTTGGCCTCGAGGCATGTGGGATCTTAACTTCCCGACCAGGGATCGAACCCGTACCCCCTGCATTGGAGGGCGAAGTCCCAACCACTGGACCGCCAGGGAAGTCCCTAATGCATCTTATAGCTCTGAAATTGCAAATTTTATAGCTCAAAGTAACTTTGAGGTCTTTGGTTACTTTTCAAATTTAGAAAAATAATTAAAAAAATAATGCTTATGAGAGATTATTAAAGAATCCTGAGCTTTACTGATCCACAGGCTAGAGGAAGGGAGAGGAAGACCACTGCAAGATCTGACAGAGATTTAGCTTTTAGTCTCATCTCTTAAATGTGCTTCCAGGTGGCGGTGTAATTTTAAGGTGACTCACATTCAATTTTATTATTCACCTGAAAGAGACCTGAGTTCTAGCTAAGTTTCGTAGGGCACTGCCACCATATCCAGAGGAGCCTGAATTACTAGATAGTTAACACTTCAGAGATCCCTGTTTGTTCGTTAACTTTAGACTTCTTATTAAAAGCGTTGTTATTGTTTATACAAAATTAAATTTTGCAAAGTCGTTTGTAATAATTTATGAGGCCCATAGCAGTGCTGAGGACAAGCTTCTGAATAAAATCTGTAGCTTTCATAAAGGAAACAATGACTTAGTGGTAGCCACAGACACGGCTTACACTTCATGAACAAAAGTAAAGGATGAAAGGCAAAAGAAACTGGTCTCAACTGGTGTCTAAACTCAATATATATACCCCAGCTTTTCTATATTTTATGAGACCGAGACTGCTGTTACTAGAATTCTGAATTTATGAAGTCCACGTGTGCACACATTTTTCTCTAAACTAAAGTACAGCTGGAGACTCTGTTGTCTGAACTCTGGATTTTTTTAGAGCCAGGTTTCAAGTCCATTGCAGATGAATAATTCTGAAATACCACTCTACATACACTCAGAAACCTTCAGTAACACCGTATTACCTAGAGAATACAATCCAGGGTTTATCTTGCTCTCTGTAGATTGACCTCAATCTTTCTCTTTGACTTTGTCTTTTCCTACCCCCTTTCTGAACCCTTCACTGCTGTCCCCCAAATGTGCTGGGCTCATTTCTTCTGAGTCTGACCATACCTCCTACCTTCTCTCCATCCTTCTGATCCAAGACTTGGCTCCTTTCTCACCTCCTCGGGGGAGCCTTTCCTGACTTCCAGCCTCCTTGCCCTCCTTCTGAGGATCATTTATTTAACCTTCCAATATTGAAGTCTGCTTGCAATATTTTTTTTTTCTTTGCGGTACGCGGGCCTCTCACTGTTGTGGCCTCTCCCGTTGCGGAGCACAGGCTCCGGATGCGCAGGCTCCGGACGCGCAGGCTCAGCGGCCATGGCTCACGGGCCCAGCCGCTCCGCGGCATGTGGGATCTTCCCGGACCGGGGCACGAACCTGTGTCCCCTGCATCGGCAGGCGGACTCTCAACCACTGCGACACCAGGGAAGCCCTTGCAATGTTTTTTAACTTGGTAAAACCCCTTCTTCAAGTTATCAGAGAGGAGCCTTTCTAGATTGCTGTCCCCCTGATTTGCCTTCCCCTTTTCACCCTCATCCTGGAAAAAACTGAGATGCATTTATGAATAAAGGTCCAAGCTGTCTTTTAGGGGGGAAAATTGAATGTATATTCAGGTATTTGATTCATTTATCTTGTTTCTGTGCTATATTACCAAATCTTTATATGACCAAGCCTGTGCTAGGTTCCAAATAAGAGGCAACTTATTGTCCTAGAGATATTCAAGCAAAGGCTTTCAGGGATATTACAGAGTAGGTAGTTGAACTAATTGATGTCTAAAGACTTTCCAACTACAAGATATCTGTGAGTTATGCACATATGCATCTCCCAACTAGAGTATAAATTCTTTGAGGTAGGATCTGTGTATTGTTCGTCTAAGCCAGTGCTTTTAGATTGTGGGTCCTGACCTATCTGTGAGTCATGAAATCAGTGTATTGGTCATGATTACAATTTAAAAAAATGAAATGGAAAAGTGAGAAAGAGTAGAAAACATCCAAGTCAGTCACCCATAGGAAAGGTCATTATTATTTTGTGGAAGTTCTGTTTCAATGGCAGATATATATCTATGCTTTACAAAGTACAATATATCTCTTCTGTAGGCCATTCTCAAAAAAGTTTCCAAAACACTCATCTAGGACATTCCTGACTGACAAAAAGGCAACTCAGGAAATTGGTGTTAGATATCTAAATGACAAATCACAAGTTCTGTCCACGGCAGTGTCTTAGCTGTAAAAATTAAAAGCTACTATATTAAAAAAAGCTGAGATAGTATAGGTGTTTATAATAAAACATGAAACCAAATTTTCTCAAAAGACTTTGTAAAAAAACTAGAAGAGACTATTGTTCTTCTGTCAAGTTTTAAGTTTGGTGTCTCAACCTGGTACTTAGCATCATCAATATTATTCAATTTATTCAATTTCTATTTGAAGAGGTAGTTTTCAGAATCTCAGGTATCCCTGGAGAGGGACATATTTGTGTTTACATTTCTAGCTTCATTCCTAGCTTTTCTTTGTTTGGGGAACGAACAATTAGTCAGCTGATTGACATTGGGCAAGTCATTTAACTTCGCTGCCCTGCACTCATTTCATGAATGAAGTGGGGATAATGGCACTGGCCTACCTGCCTCAGAGAATTGATCTGTGAGTCAAATGACATTCAAATATAACAGATCGTTGGGAAAAGACTATCTTGAAAGGTTTCAAAATATAACTTAAATCCTCCATCATTTCAAAAAGGATTTGAGGCAATGAAGTTCAAAGATATAAGAAGATTTTATAATTACTCATATATCTGAGCTGTGGACTCTAGTCACTTATTAACCCCAACTCTGCCACTCAACTGTGTTCCTGTGTACCTCTAGCCAGACAAGTCTGAATATTGTCTTTATACTGGTCTTCCATGGACGGGGAGTTTCCAGTACCTATGTAGTAGAGTGAAGGGCACAGTTACCTGGCAGTTTTACCCACTGTTCCATATATGTCTCTCCAGTGCTTGCTTATTTTCCCCCTTCTACAAACATTCCACTCATGCCACAAGAATCTAGTGTCCTCCTGTGAGGGGAGAAGGGGTGGCACACTGGGTGGATCTAAGTGCAGAGACAGGAGCCTTATATTCAGAAGTGAACAGGTGGAAGTATTCACTGTCCTCTAAGCTGAATACCGTCCTTTTCTCCAAGAAAACTAGATTGTTCTTCTCCCGCCACACAGCTGGGTTAGACTGCTTGGAGTAGCTTGTTCTTGCTGCACTGTAACAAAACGCATGTAACACTAAGATGGGTGTGCAAAGATGTTCACTGTGTGTGCAGAGATATTCACTGCAGCACTGTTTGTAGGAGCAAAAAGAATGGGGTCATCACCATGTGCTGTTGTGGAAGTAGTATCAAGATATATAAAGTAAAAGATGCCTATAACGGAAGTGTGCATAATGTAATTCATTTGGGTAAATAAATGAATATATACACATACATTTTTTTCTGGTAGGATAGAGGAGCATAAGACAGTGGTTTACCTTTGGGTGGAAGGACTTGGGTGGTTGAGGAGGGAGGTTCCTATTTTTCCATTTGATACTTTTCTGCAGGGTTTGCATTTTCTAACTATATGTAAGGTTTTTTTTTTTTTTTCTGCAGTACGCGGGCCTCTCACCCGCTGTGGCCTCTCCCGCTGCGGAGCACAGGCTCCAGACGCGCAGGCCCAGCAGCCATGGCTCACGGGCCCAGCCGCTCCGCGGCATGTGGGATCTTCCCAGACCGGGGCATGAACCCGTGTCCCCTGCATCGGCAGGCGGACTCCCAACCACTGCGCCACCAGGGAAGCCCATATGTAAGTATTTTTTAAGTGTCAATAAGGGTTATTTGGATTTTGCTTTTTTTGGTATTAATAAGTATCATGTTTTTAAAGCACTCATGTTCTTAAAAGCACACTCAAAACCAATCAAACTATTCATGAAAATTAATCATAATAAAAAATGCCAGAGGAAGCAGTGTTGTGTATAGTTGATGACATTAAATATATTTGCTTTTTTTTTTTTTTTTTTTTGCGGTACGTGGGCCTCTCACTGTTGTAACCTCTCCCGTTGCGGAGCACAGGCTCCGGACGCGCAGGCTCAGCGGCTCCGCGGCATGTGGGACCCTCCCGGACCGGGGCACGAACCCGTGTCCCCTGCATCGGCAGGCGGACCCTCAACCACTGCGCCACCAGGGAAGCCCTATTTGCTTTTTAAACATCTCCTTCTTTCCCATTACCTGCACCTCTTATATTCTCAGACTATAGATGCTGCGCACACACACACACCCATCTCTCATTTGGTTAAATTCATCTGGGGAATAAAGGGCAAAAAGACATTCCTATTTATTAACTTTGAAAAGTAGATAAATAATTAATAGCCCCTAGAGTCCGTGGACAGTGGACAGCAGGCCCTTTGGGCAGTCTTCCTTCTTCTCAGGTTCCTATATGTGGTTCATCCCTCTGGCACTATGATAATAGTAAATAATAATCAATGGGAAAACACAATTATGATTGTTAACAAACAAATGCTAATTATTATGAGAAAATATGTGTTCTGATTATGTATACACAGCCCATATAGAGGTAATGGTCTAATGACTAGACTTTTAAAAATTAAAAGTGTTAAAGACTGTAGTAGGTGATTATTCATAAAGTTGAAAAGAAAACTGTTGAAAGGGTCCCTGCATTTATTCAATTAATTTTATTTCAAAATTGTGCTCTTTACTAAATAATACTAAATGTATATGCAAATGTGACATAGTAGCCTAAATTAAAAAAAAAAAAAAAAAGAAAAGAAAGAGGGACTTCCCTGGTGGCACAGTGGTTAAGAATCTGCCTGCCAAGGCAGGGGACACGGGTTCGATTCCTGCAGCGGGAAGATCCCACATGCCTCGGACCTACTGAAGCCCGCTCGCCTAGAGCCCGTGCTCTGCAAGGAGAGAAGCCACTGCAATGAGAAGCCCGTGCACCGCAGCGAAGAGTAGCCCGTCGCAACTAGAGAAAGCCTGCTTGCAGCAACAACGACCCAACGCAGCCAAAAAATAAATAAGATAAAAAAGCTTAATGAACTCGTGAATGCCAGTCATTGACAACAAAAGAGCAAAACAGTAGCTCTTAGCTTCTTTTTGTGGCTTGTGGAGCAGTCCTTGGCTCAATCAAGACCCACAGGACTTGCAGTCCCTTTAATACTAATGGGGTTTGTATCTTCACATAAGAGTACCCTTTCTATATACATATCTGAAATACAAGGATGTCCACTTTCTTGCTATACCTCTGACCCTTTATCTCGGAGTACCTTTTTCTCTATTCCTGAATTACTGACATATATTATAAAAATAGCTAGAAATAGGTGTGTTTGTAAGGTTTAGCCACAGAGTTTCAACAACACCGCTCGTTTCCTTTTGTTTCCTAGTGTCCACTCTTTCCATTCTTAGCCTTTCTTTCCTGTGATGGCACATGTCCATGGCAGGGCTTCCGTCATAATCAAACAATACGAAGAGTTAACACTAACCAGCCTTTGTTTTAAGTGCTTTACATGCATTGTACTATTTTAGCCTTCTCACCAACCTTATGAGGTATGTACTATTATTACCCCCATTTTACAGTTGATAAACTGAGGTACAGAAAACTTGAGGTCACATAGCTGGTGTGTGGGAGAGCTGGATGCACAGGCTTCAGAACTGGTATCAGTCTGAAAAGTCCCCTTTGTTTAAAGGGGTCAAAAGAAGAAATAAACAAGTCCTATAAATTGATTTTTCAACTTTGCCCTTTTTGTGTACATGAAAACATGGTCCCTCACCTTTGAAGCCCTCATCATCTCATTGGCCTAATTAGTGGTAGATAAGTGAGTATGTGAGGGCCAGTAAAAGGTTTTCCTCCCTCCAGAAGCTACCACTGAGAGTGCCTGAAAGCTCCTTATCAAAGATAGAGTTCATTTCTCCAATAAGTCCTTGTTGAAATGCAGCGTTTTGCATAGAAGGGACAGCACACTAAAACTAGGTGTAGCCTGGAGATTTGTTTATCCATTTAAACGACTTCATCTTAAAATAGTGAATGAGGGCCAGAAGGAATCAATGAGTTTAATTTCCTTTCAAAGCGGGAAAGCTCCAAACCTGGAGGGCTTCTTGGGAGACACATTAAGTCAGGAGGCCTCATCCAGCTTGTTTTTGCAACTACTTGTATCTATCTAGTGAGGGTTTCTAAACTGTGTAAGCCTGTACTCGTCTAGGATCGTGGAATAAGGAAGAACCAGCCTTGATTTATACAGGAATTCATACTTCATTGCTTTATTCCTTTAACAGCTCCAGCCAGGTCAGCTGGCAAAGGAAGATAGATATCTAACTGAGATGAGGTCAGACAGCATATGCATAGCATCCAGTGGTAGGACAGGAAGGGCCAGCTCAGGGAGGCTACCAGAGCTCCTGTTGAGAGTTTACTTTTGTAGGGAGGGCAGCCAGGCTGCTTAGAGACCTCACATTGGCATGTGCCCCGAAGAATGTGGGTAAATGATTGCTCTGCCACATCCAGGTCCCTGGAAAGTTTCTTTTTTAACTGCTTCTCTGAGAGTAGTCACACTATGTCTCCTATGCTAGTCTCTGCAGCAGATGTGTGGGTTCTCCTGTTTCAGATACTCTGCTTGGTAACGAGGAAATGGCCTAGATGACTTCTGAGGTCCCTGTAGCCTAAGGGTTCAATGTTTCTGGTTTCCATCGTCACTACATAATATTACTTGGTTAGGTCGCAGAGGGGTAGAAGAGAGGAGTCATAAATAGCCCCAAAGCATAAAACCTTGGCTATGCCATAGCTTTAAAAAAAAAAGGTTTTATTATGCAAGATTTTAAACATACACAAAGCTAGAACAGTACAGAGATTCCCATTTCATCCATCCTCCCTCTTCTGATTATTTTGAAGTAAATCCAAGCTATTATTTTATTTATAATATATGTATTTATACTTCACTATGTAGTGCTAAAAGATAAGAACTCTTCTTGAAAACATTGCCACAATGCCATCATCATACCTAAAAAACTTAGTAATCCCTTAATTATCATCAAATATGCAGTTAGTCTTCAAATTCCCCCAGCTGTCTCACATATTCTTTTTTAATGGTTGGCTCGTGTGAAGCAAGGTCCAAACAGGATCCACGCGTTGCATTTGGTTGATATAATTCTAAAATCTCACTTTTTTTAAGGAAGAATTTTTATTGAAGTATAACATACAGAGAGGCGTGCACAAATCCTTATATACAACTCAGTGAAGTTTTTCTTATGAAACCACCACCTATGAAATAGAACTTTACCAGGACCCCAGTAGTACCCCACTGTAGTTTTAATTTGCATTTCTCTGATGACGCTAAGTCCTTTTAAAATATTTTTTTGGAGCCATGTGTATATTCTCTTTAAAGAAGTGCCTTTTACAAATCTTTTGCTCCTCTCTCTCCCTTTTAAAATTGTGTTTCATTTTTCTTATTGATTTGTGGAATTCTTTATATATTCTGAATACGAGTCCTTTGCTGAATGTATGTACTGCATATTTCTTCTCCCACTGTGTGGCTTGCCCTCACTCTCTTAACGGTGTCTTAATGAACAGAAGTTCTTAATGAAATCCAATTCATCAATTGTTCCCTTTATGATTTGTGCTTTTCGTGTCCTGCTTTAGAAGTCATCGATATTCTAAGTTACCCTCTGGAAGTTTCAGTGTTTTGCTTTTCCAAATTATGTCTACACTCCTTCGAGAATTTAGGATTGTGACGAGTGTGAGATAGGGGTCAGTGTTAATTTGTTTGTTTGTTTGTTTTAATTTTATTTATTTAGTTATTTTTGGCTGCATTGGGTCTCCGTTGCTGCACACGGGCTTTCTCTAGTTGTGGTGAGCGGGGTCTACACTTTGTTGCAGTGCAGGGGCTTCTCATTGCAGTGACTTCTCTTGTTGCAGAGCACAGGCTCTAGGCACGCAGGCTTCAGTAGTTGTGGCGTGTGGGCTCAGTAGTTGTGGCTCGCGGGCTCTAGAGCGCAGGCTCAGTAGTTGTGGCGCACAGGCTTAGTTGCTCCGCGGCATGTGGGATCTTCCCTGACCAGGGATTGAGTCTGTGTCCCATGCGTTGGCAGGCGGATTCTCAACCACTGCGCCACAAGGGAAGCCCCCGTTAATTTTTTTCCATGTGGATACCCAGATGATCTAGCACCATTTTTTTGTTATTGTTTATTTATTTATTTATTTGGCCATGGCGTGGGACATGTGGGATCTTAGTTCCCCGACTACAGATCAAACTCTGGCCCTCCACAGTGAGAGTGTGGAGTCCTAATCACAGGACTGCTAGGAAATTCCTGATCTAGCACCATGTTGAAAAGATTCCTTTCTCCTCTGTCCTGCAGTGCTATCATTATCCTAACTAGAGGACTGTACATGTGTGGGTCTGTTTCCCAACTCTCTTTGTTTTGTTGGTCTATTTGTGTATCTTTATGCATTTTTTTTACATCTTTATTGGAGTATAATTGCTTTACAATGGTGTGTTAGTTTCTGCTTTATAACAAAGTGAATCAGTTATACATATGTTCCCATATCTCCTCCCTCTTGCGTCTCCCTCCCTCCCACCCTCCCTATCCCACCCCTCTAGGTGGTCACAAAGCACCGAGCTGATCTCCCTGTGCTATGCGGCTTCTTCCCACTAGCTATCTACCTTACTACGTTTGTTAGTGTATATATGTCCATGCCACTCTCTCACTTTGTCCCAGCTTACCCTTCCCCCTCCCCATATCCTCAAGTCCATTCTCTAGTAGGTCTCTGTCTTTATTCCTGTCTTACCCCTAGGTTCT